CCTTTGGTGTCACAGGGTAAAGGCAGATGGTGTCTGTAACCCACTTTTAAGTGATTCAAGAATACTTAGGCATTATTACACGGCACTTGGATATTACTGAAGCAGGCCAGAGTCCCCCACCCAAGACCCTTACTGTAATTAAGCAGAAACCCCCACCATATTTGTGAGCATTTAAATTCCTCTTAGCACATCAGAAACCTTTTTATTTATTTTTTTTAGATAATAGGCTTTTTTTAAAAAAATTATTTATTTGTTCTAATCAGTTATACATGACAGCAGAATGCTCTTCAATTCATTATACACAAATGAAGCACAATTTTTAACTTCTCAGGTTGTGCACAAAGTAGGGTCACACCATTGGTGCAATCATACACCAACCTAGGGTAATCATGTCTGTCTCACTTCACCATCTTTCTTACCCTGTCAGGAAGGTTTTTATCAACAAAAACTTCTACAGAAGGGCATTGTGGTTGGTAGTTTCCTCTTTTTGTAAATGTCAGATTGTCAGGAAAAAAACAAAACAAAAAACTCTTTCTAGTCTAAAGAAAAAAAATGGAACAAAAAGCACTTGTCACGTAAACCTCCAAGCCCCTCCTCCCACGGGGTCTATAGTTCAAAGAATTTCCAAAATCTTTGTCCAGAGAATGTTTGGGCAATAGCCCTCTGTCAATAAATCTGTCTCTTGAAAACTCCTCGGTGTCCAGCCTCCTCTGGCCCACTTCATTACGTGTGTGTTTATCACTATCTATGTATACATGCAGCGTATTTCCTACCGACAGGGGCCCTCTGTCACCTGTGAGTATATAAAGGGGGGGAGGGGTTGGAAAGAGAAAACAACGTGGTAAAGGCCGCAGAATGCGAAATATTGGTGAATCTAGGGTAAAGGAGACAGGGGAATTCTTTGTACCATTTTTCTAATTTTTTTTTTTTTTTGTAAATATGAAATCATTTCAAAGTAAGACACTTTCCCAAATTAGTATGAATTATAAAATCGAGCATGGTTTCATAAAAATCATGTTACTATCATGTATCCTACCTTGAAACTGGTAGAGGTTTGGGGAAGTTTCACCTGTATGTACTCTCCTGGTGAAACCGAGAGAAATCAAAAACAGTTTCCTGACCGCTGCTTTTCTGCCCCTGCCTGGCTGAGAGAGGCCCAGGCAGCTGGAATGGAGATGGCCGCTGGCCCTGTCCAGCACCAGCTAACTAAATCTGCATATGTAAATCTCCTGCCTTTTGTCCCTCTTTGCAGGCTGCCTCTTCTCTTAAAAGCTTTCCTGGCCCCACAGCCTCCAAAGATGGAAATTGGAAACAGAAAAGTTTCTTTTATCTTCTTTCATCGCTGACTTTGAATAAAACCTATTTTCCTGCCAATTTGAGTTGTTAAGTATTTGTGGAGTCCAGCCTCTTGCCTGAGCAGGGAGGGAGTAGGAGTTCCACCAGAACACTGGGAGGCAGAAAACCAGGGTCCAGCCTTCAGCCACCGCCTGGCCTTGTTGGCCAGGGTCAAGTGCGTGGGTTTGTGTCCGTGACTCCCGTCATGGCCAGCAGCTGAACAGTTCTGCTGCACTTCCTGTTTTCCTACTTGAAGTCGGAGCTCCCCAAATCTCCCCACTCCTTTGGAATATTTTCATAAGAAATCACAAGTCCATGTGACAGAAAGGTTTCTGTATCTGCTAAGACCCCTCTGTCGCAGAAAAGTAAGGTTCTTGTGTTTCCAAGAAAGAAAATTTAAAGTCAGACACCAAAAGGCCATGCAGGAGGACTTTATTAGAAGAGAAAGCGAGGTGAAAGTGAAATAAAAGCCAAGGGAGGCTCAAGCCGAGGGCATTCTCCGGAGGCAGAGGGGGCCAGTTCTGAGCAGAGAGGGACAAAGGCGACAGCGTCTCCAGATTGGTTACTGTGGCATGTTTTCCAGGAGAGCTGGGGACCACCTCTGGACTCTGCCAATCCTCTTTCACGTGGTGATGGAGTTTTTTACTTTAGCTGGTCCTCTCTGGAACTGTCCTGGTGGCCATCTCCTTTAGGGAGGCTTCATCTACAAGTCAGTCCCATGCTAATGTGGGCTCGGGGGTCAATAGCTGGTCAGAAGTAACCTCAGTGCGCCTGCGCTGCTACAAAATCATCTTCCTTCCCAGGCAGATGGAGACCCTGATAGCTGTAATTCGTCACTTCACACCAACCTCAGTGGGCCCTGTCAAGGGCTAGTCCCATTAATCCTTTCCTCTTGATGTATTTTTCCCATTAACTCCACTGCTTCTCTGTATTTTCTACAAATTAACTACCACCCATTGTTTTCTTGGCTACTTTGGAAGTAGTTTAAGGAAGACTCTAAAAGAGTTTAAAGAACACTCGTGATCCTGCCATGCATTTCGCTGCTCATGGTGAGCTACTACCTAACACCTCTTGGAACCCTTAGTCTGCTGATACAGTAAAATTACAATCTCAAACTTGGTTTTTTCCAGTACTTTATTTTCCCCACTCAGTACTGGGGATTGAACCCAGGGATGCTCTGCCTGAGCTACATCCCCAGCCCCTCACTGATTTTTTTTTTTTTTTTTTTTACTTTGAGAAAGAGTTTTGCTACCCGAGGCCAGCCTCAAACTTCCAATTCTCCTATTTTAACGTCCCAAATCGCTGGGATTACAGGCGGGGGCCACCCCACCCAGCTCTTCCCATACTCCTACTCTACAAGAATCAATGTGGAATAATTCCAGAATGCCAAATGTGTGGGGATTTCTCCCCACCAGTAAGCCAGCTGGATTCTCTTCTAATCCCAATTCAACTCTGACACCCACCATCTCCCTGGAGAAAGCACCAGATCTCACAGGTGAAGGGCTCAGTCCCCAAGGCTGTCCCCAAGGCTGTCCCGCCTCCCTACTTCAGATGCCAGCTACCAGCCCCACACTGTATTCCCAGGCATCTCGCCGACTGGCTCTCGGTCAAGGTTCCCATGACCCCTTTGCAGGTTGGATTAATCTCCTAATTAATTTTTGCTCACGGAACTCACAGAAACACATTTACCAGTTTATTATAAAGGATATCTGGAGGGACACAAATGAACAGTCAGACAAGAGACCCGCAGGGCGTGGTCTGGAAGGGTCCAAGGTCCTGAGCACTCAGGGCTTTGCTCCTGGGAAGTGAGGGCCGGGGTGGGGGATGGAGGGGTGGGCAGTACCCTCCTGGCACGCCAGTGTGGTCCTGTTCACTGTCTTCACACCATGGGGTCTTTCAAATCCTCCTTTTGGGATTTTTATGGAAGCTCCGTAACATAACCACGATTGATCAGGTCCCTGGCCATTGGTGATTTTAACCTTCACATCTTCCAGGGACCCCAGAGTTGGGAGGTGGACCCCAAACTCCCACCCTTCTGAGCACAAAGTGGTTCCTCTAGCAACCAAACCTCTGTTCGTGGTTATCTGGAAATTTTCCAAAAATCACTTCATTTACCTAAACCCAGGTGTATTTGAAAGTGTGTGTTTACATCATAAAAAACTGTTTTAGGGTCTGAGGCTTTTCTGAAGGTGTTTCAGGAACCAAAGAGGAAAGGCCAAACACTTTAAGAAAAAAAATCCTTACTGTGCTAGTCAATGAGGAAATCAAAAGCCAGGAACAGTGGGTAAAATGTGGAATAATTCCATAAATTAGATATTTAATATCTAATTCCATAAAATTAGATATTAAATAGAATTAGATATTAAAATATCACTCCTAATAACCCTTCTCAACATACTACTTTTCCTTGGCTGGACACCCACTTTGGAGTCCTTATTTTTTCCTTTTCTTTTAATGTTTGTTTTAAGTGCATTGTAGTTATACATAATAGTGGAGATAACTTTGACATTCATAAATACATATGACATACTTTTCTCCATTTCAATCCTCAGTACTATCCTCTTCCCAATATTTTTGCTCTACTCTCTTGGTCTTCCTTCTATTTATTCATTTATTTTTTAGTTGGTACATTACAGTTAAATATAAAATTGGAATGCATCGCTATAAATTCGTACATGCACGTCTTTCTTTCTTTCTTTTTTGGTACCTGGGCTTGAACTCAGGAGCACTCAACCACCGAGCCACATCCCCAGCCCTATTTTGTATTTTTATTTAGAGACAGGGTCTTATTCAATTGCTTAGTGCCTCGCTGTTGCCCGAGGCTGGCTTTGAACTCCTCCTGCCTCCGCCTCCGGAGCCGCTGGGATTACAGGTGTGTGTCATCGTGCCCGGCTGCATACCTCATTTTCTTTATCCATTCATCTGTTGACAAGCATGTGGGCTGACTGCATGACATGGCCAATGTGAATTGGTGTGCCTGTATCACTTTAGTATGTGATTTTAGATCTTTTGGATAAATACCAAGGGCTGGGATAGCCGGGTCATAAGGTGATTCCATTCTTAGTGTTTTGCAGAATTTCCACACTGCTTGCAGAAGTGGTTGTACTAATTTGCAATCTCATCATCCACGTGTAAGCGTTCCCTTTCCAACACATCCTTGCTAGCAATTATCATTATTTGTATTCTTTTTTAAAATTTTTTTAAAAGAGAGTGAGAGAATTTTTAAAATATTTATTCTTTTTAGTTCTCGGCGGACACAACATCTTTGTTGGTATGTGGTGCTGAGGATCGAACCTGGGCCGCACGCATGCCAGGCGAGTGCGCTACCGCTTGAGCCACATTCCCCAGCCCTATTACTTGTATTCTTGAAGGCTGCCGTTCTGACTGGGGTGAGATGAAATCTCAGTGAAGTTTTGATGGGCATCTCCCTCATGGCTAAGGATGCTAAACACTTTTTCATGTTTTTGTTGACTATTTATAATATTTTTTTTTCTTGAAAAATATCTCTTTAGATCTTTTTCCCATTGATTGAGGGGTTATTCATTTTTCTAGTGGGTTTTTTTTTTTTTTTGAGTTCTGGTTATTAATCCCCAGACAGAAGAATAACTGGCAAAGATTTTCCTCCATTTGTAGGCTCTTTCTTGATGCTTTTGTGTCCTTTGCAGAACATTCCTTATTTCAACGAGTGACCAAGGAAACTTCGAGGAATGCTGTGACGGGCCGAGGTTAGGGGAACCGAAGCCGATGCTCCACCTTCAACCTGAACACCATCTGGGGTTTGTGAACTTGAACACAGCTCCTTTGATCACCATCTTTGTAGTATATTGAGGACTGTTGCACATGGCTCAGGGTCATTGTTCTTTCTTCTATTTCTCCTCTCTCTCCCTCCCTCCCTCTCTCTCTCTCTCTCTCTCTCTTTTTTTCCTGTCTGAGGATGAACCCCAAGCCTCACCCATGCTAGCCTAGGCTAGTGCTCTACCACTGAGCTACATCCCCAGCCCCTTTTATTTTTTATTTTGAGACAGCATCTCACTAAATTGCCTCAGGCTGACCTCAAACTTGTGATCCTCTTGCCTCAGCCTCTCGAGTCTCTGACTTCCATCTCCATCACAGGAATGCACCGCTGTGCCTGTCTTTGAGGATTATGTCGGTCCAAAACTTCCTTTCTTTTAGGGGACAGACAGATGGGGGTGGTGGGAACACAGGGTTAAGAGAATAATTCTATAAAATGGGCCTGCCGTACTGACTCCCACGTGCTTTCTTGGCAAAAAGCCATTGACCTGCAGCCCCGCTGGCCTAAGTGGACAGGATAGGTCACATTCCTTAGCAAATCACCTGTCATCTGCTAGGAAATGCAGGCAAGAAATAACACTAATGAGAGGAGCCCAAGTTACTTTGAGGGGAGAGAATTCTGTGACCCTTTTCTCAGACCAGATTCGGAAAGATAAGGATGATTCCTCCTAATCATAAAACCTGTAGAAATGATGAAGAATCCAGTTAGAACCACTCACTATGGGCCAAGGTGACACAGCATGGTCATGGCAGTGGGGACCTGAAAGTCTGATGTCACCCTGCAATCAGTCCAAAGTCAAGGTGGGACTCTCTGGAAACTTCTCTGGGATCCCCAGTACGACTGGAGTGCAGGAGAGGCATGCTGGCCTTCCCTGTGGGAGGACCTGCTCTCCCTGGAGAGGTCCCCTTTCCCTGTGCCCCTCCCTTCAGTAAAGCTCACGCCTGTGACTGAGCGCCACGTCTGAGCACCACGTCTGAGCGCCACGTCTGAAGTCTTTCTGACTCGGTCACAGGAACAGGGGTTGGAAGGGGCGTCTTCAGGCTACCTGGGTTTCTTGGAAGGCCCCAGCTCCGTGACACTTGCTGTGTGGCACTTCCCACGCGTCTCCATGAAGCCTCCTTAGTTCTGCCTCCCTCTCCCCCCACTGACACCATTCTCTCCCCTCCTTTTCACTTTCCATTCACCCTGCAATGGCCCTCTCCTGGACACCTTTCCTTTTGGCCTTGAGAGCATCCGTTCTTTGGGAGAGCTGCCTAATGGATTCCCATTGGGCCACCGAACCCATGTTCACTGCAGGGAACCTGGCACCAACTGAGCAAATTCAGGGCTGATGGTAACTGAAGCCGAGTCTCCCAACGGTAGTGTCCCAAGGAAATGGGCCACAGGCTTTCCTTCCTCAGGACCCCTGAGCTGCCCTGGTTCTTGTCCTTAAATTCTAGTTTTCTCTTTGACAGTGTGCATACCCCAACGGTACCGAGTTCTGAACTTGGCCAGGCTTGGATTACCAGCTGATGGCACCCTCAAGGAAGCGCACGATGGTCAGAATTTCTCCACCAAGGTGGGGAGATTGGCTGTGAGACGAGATTCTGATTTCATTCTGGGCTGGAGGTGCTCACGATTAAGCGAGTTAGTCCACTTATTGCCTGCGGTGGCCTGGGGCTCGGAGACCTCTGCGGGAGAGCTCTAGGTCCCAGTTAATTGCTTTACAGGCCACTTACAGGAGGTGGGAACTGGGAGATCACTGGAGTCTGATTGTTTCCTACTGAGAGCTGATTTCCAGTAAGAAAACAAAAACAAAAACAAAAACCCTGTGAGTCTCAATTCTCCTGTGAGACATAAAGTAAATCTCAGGGACTTTCCCTGGTGTCCCCGTAGATTCCTGGCGAAACTTGGGCCTTGACATCTCTGAAAAACCAACCTCAGAGATTGATCTTGCAGGTTCTTAAAGTGCAAGTGGACCTCCTTCTCTCTCCAGGGTTTTGGAGTGAGTGTCTCGGCTCTGACTAGAAAGGATGAGTTCCTGACACTGGCGTTCTCTGGGGCCAGGTGGAACTTCTGGAGAACCCCGAGTCTCAAGTCCCCCTTGTGTACTCTCGGGTGTTAGCGTTTGGTTGGCTTGGTTGCTTTTGGGTGTGTGGGAGGGCACCCCGCCATGGCCGGGAGCAGGTGTTGGGGAAAACTAATCCCCTCATTGCAGTCGGAAGGCAAAAGAGAGGAAGGACGCAGCATCCCAACAGCCAGGGGCACGACCCACATGAACTAATATTCTCTCCCCGGGGCCCCACCTCTTAAAGGTTTTTGCCACCTCTGAATAGTGCCCCAGTCTGAGGACCAAGCCTTTAGCCCATGGGACGTCGGGGGACACTTCAGATCCGAATTATAGTACCTCCCCTGGGCTTCTTTAGCTTGAGAAGTGATTCTCTTTGTGGACAAAGTCAAATACCATCACCTGCTCGGACCTCCCCTGCCATTCAGCTGAGCAACCAGGATTCAAACTTGATTCAGACTGTCTGGTGTGTGTGCATGGGTCACCTGTGCGTTGGTGTGTGTGCGCATGTGTGCACGAGTGTTTACAAACCACACGATCAGGATGAGAAAAGCGAGACATTTCAAGTCTACTTGGACTAACGTGATTTTTTTAATATTTATTTTTTAGTTGTAGGTGGACACCGTATGTCCGTTTCATTTTTTTTTTTAATGTGGTGCTGAGGATCAAACCCAGCGCCCCACGGGTGCCAGGCGAGCGCTGCACCACTGAGCCAACCCCAGCCCCGTGACTAAAGTGATTTTTTAAGGGCAGTAGACCAAGAAGGGCAAGCCTGATTTGGGGTAGGGATGACATTGCTGTTTAGGTGGATGTCCTCACCAGAAGTTCTGCCTTCAAGGTGCCAACTTGCAGCTGGTTACATTCTGATCATTTATCTCAGATGTCAAGCAAAGTGACATTATGGGGCCAGAAATCCTGGCGTAAAACGTAGAGGAAAGTATTTAAAGACATCAGAATAAAGGCATGCATGCATCTACCTATGATGGGTGCAGACGTCTCCTCTGATCATGGATCCGAGTGGTCCAGCTACCCCTTGTTAATCGAGTCCAGTCGGTTGACCTGTCCACGCGGTCCGTGGTTCCTGGAACACTGCCGCATCAGGCGAAGGTGGTCGACATCGAACTGGGTCTGGCAGGTTCTGAAACCACAAGTCACCATCTAAAAGTCACGGGACCATTTAGGGTACCCGAGTCACGGGACCGTTTAGGGTACCTGCCGTGCTGCTTCTCCATCCCTCCCTCAGCCCACACACAGGGCCCCAGGGGGCCAGCGCCGGGGGCCAAGGGAACATTGTCAAAGAAGAATAAAGGAGCCTGGTGTGAAGCCATGAACCACTGAAGCTTTGTATCTATTTTAGGTGGGTTTGAAGGACAACAGAAAAGGGAGAAAGTTCTCCAGGTGGCTTTGTTTGAATAGGAAATCTCAGCATCCACTTAGCCTGCAAACCCAGATGGCCAGAGCTTTCTGGTGTGAAAGGAAAGGAGTCAAGAGACCCAACAGAGGTGGAAGACTCTGTGATGATTTGGGTGTTGAATGTGCCCCAGGGTTTTAAAGGCCTGGTCCCAGCTTAGTGCTGCTGGGAGACAACAGAACCTTCAGGAAGAGGCCCAGTGGGAGTGTGATATTGTTCGGTACAATATGTGTGTGTGTGTGTGTGTGTGTGTGTGTGTGTGCATGCATGTGCATGCATGTGTGGTGCTGGGGATTGAACACAGGGCCTCACCCATGCAAGGCGTGTGCTCCAACACGGAACTACATCTCTGCCCTTGTGCAATCCTGATCCCATCTATCACACTTTTTGTCAACCTCAGATCCTACGTACCATGGTGGTCCCCTGAGATCCCGTCACCGAGTACCATCACAGTGATTTCTGTCTGTGCAAGTTCCCTCTCTGGTGCTCACAGGACAGGGAAGTCACCTCGTGGCCATTTCTCAGGATTCCCGTGATTAAGCCCCATGACCTTGTTTTTCTGCTTTTCCTCACCTTGTGGCTTCTTGGCTAGCCTCGGGTCATGGGAAGGAGAGGAGAGTTCAAGGGGAAAAGCCATGTCAGGTCTCTGTAGTCTTCGACCCTGGTCCTCCCAGTGGTCAGGTCATTGGAAAGACCAAAGCTCAAAGTCTGGTGGCCAGAAGACTCTAGGGGCAGGGATACGTGGCTAAATCACAAGGGACAGGCCCAGAATCCACGCACACCCGTCCTCAATTTGAATGCAGATCTGGAGTCCCTCCCTCTAGGAATGTGTGAGGGATTTTTTTCTCCCGACAACAGATATCGGTGTACACTCAGCCCTGTGTGTCAGTGGGTTCTGTGACCACAGGTTCAATTCACCCTGGATGGAAAATATTCTGAAAGAAACTGCATCTGAAATGAACCAATGCAGGCTTTTAATTTCCTTGTCACCATTCCCTCAACAAAATAGAACACGAGCCCTTTATGTGGTATTTGACGGTGTTAGGCATGGTATTGTGGCTGTCTAGAGACGTTTTAAAGGGTGCAGGAGGATGCGTCTAGGTTATATAGAAATACTGTGCCTTTTATATGAGGGACTTAGGATTCCCAGATTTTCCATCCTGCCTGTGTGTTGGGAGCGGGGGATCCTGGAATCCATCCCCTTGGGTATCAAGAGACAACTATATTTCCCAACACCAATTCTCCAGTTCTCCAAATTGGTGTTCAACAATTCAATTCAACTCTGACACTGTAGGAACTATCACAGATCCTACAGGTTATGGACTCAGCCGCCCAAGACCGCCCCCACAAAGGGGTTCCCAGAGTGCCCATCCTTCTGCCAGGATGACTACAAACTTAGGGGTTCTCACAACCTTCTCTTCGGGGTTCACAATTTGCTGGACTGCTCACAGATCTCAGAGAGACCTTCGACTAATGTTCACCTTCGACTTAGGAAGCCTAGAACTCAGGAATGGCCAAGGGGAAGAGAAATGTACAGGAAAGGAAACGAATGGGGTGGGT